CTGTGCAAAAGTCTTGAAGTCTTTCTTCTTAGGCAATCGTGTATGCATGCCCTGTTACGCTGTTTGCCGCGTTCGCGGGGTTCTGTTTATTTCAACACACGCAGAGGTCTTTTTTGACCTCATTTTTCTGCAGGGATGTCTGATCTCTCCCTGCCTTGCGGTTGCCTGAGGTATGCTTGGGCGAGCCTTTGGATTTCACATCTTTTGCCCGCAACACCATCATAGGTGAACAACAAGCGCTCTCTGGGTATGACTGCTTAAACTGTGTGAGAGTTAAGTCTTGATTCAGCCGTGTACTGGTAACCTGTTTCAAGCTTCTTCACTCTTGACATCGGTTGCGCATCTGTCTGTCTGTATGCGTGTGCGAAGTCCATGGGGCACCGGGCTGAATGGCCTAGTGCCCCAGGACACTAGTCCATCCGGCCTTCCTCATGGACGGAATGTGGGTGGGACACACACACAGGCACACACACACACACACACACACACACAATCAATTTTATGTTGTTGGTCCTCCTTCTGTTGTATGTCCTCCCCTTGATTTTTTCTAAGTCTTTTTGTGTGGCCAATTGAGCACCCTTGAGTAGTGCCAAACAGTCGGTGGTTCCTCGTTTGGAGTGCCAACTGCACTCTTAGGGGGGTTGCTCGGATCAGGATGTCTATGGTGCCTGTCGGTGATGACGGATGGTCGTCGGAGTGTCCCCCTGGCTCAGCGGGTGGTGGGAACCAACAGTCTGCGGGGTTCTATCGTGATGTGAGTAGGTCATGTGCTGCTTTGCTCCATGTTGGATGTGTAGATTGTTTTGTCTGCGCTCTGCCATGGTCTTGCTGTCCGTGCGACGTGCCGCTTGCTTTGCAGGTCGTCCTCGCTGCTCTGCTGCCTTGACGCTTACCTGCGGGTCGTGCCTCCTGTGTCTTTTGCTCGCGTGCCTTGTGGTTTGGTAGCCTTGTGGTGGTGCCTCGCGCTTCGCTGCACGGTTGCTGAGCTGCTTATCCGTGTGCCCTGTCGGCCTTCGGTGTCCTTTGTGTGCATGCCTTGTAGTTTGGTTGCCTTGTTGGTGGTGCCTTGTACTTCACTGCACGGTTGTCGAGCTGCTCGTCTGCTTGCCTTCCGCGTCCCGTACTTGCTTGCGTGCCTTGTAGTCTGGTCGCCTTGCTGATGTTGCCTTGCGCTGCACCGCACGGTTGCCGAGCTGCTCGTTCGCTTGCTGTAGCGGACCCACCAGGTGTGGTGCTCCGCTAGTGGTAGAGATGGAGATGGAGGAAGAAGGGGGGAGCGAGATGACACAACGCAGCTCCCCACGCAAGACTCCAACGCACGTACTCCAAAATGTGCAAGTCAACAGACAAAGGCTGGGGTATACCCCAGCGGATTGACGGGACTGGACTGGACTGGCTGGTATCGACAGAGGTACCGGCCTGGACAGGACTGCCCCGAATAAAACACAGGCCTGTGAGAACAGGCCAAGGGGCTGGTCTCAGAGGCCCACCGAAGGTCCGCTACACGATCCTCGGACTGTGATGGATCGCCTAGATACAAGCACGCTTCCGCCAAAAAGCGGAACTCTACCAAAGAAAAGAAACCTGAGTAGTCTAGGATGCGGAGCAAGCTCCATGCTGAGTCCATGCGATGCAACCTAGGATATAAAATGTCACAAAACAACAATGTCACAACTAACAGCCTAAGTAAAAGCAAAAACAACTAACTAGCATACATGTCCTAGGAAAGCAGAAAGTAGTGACAACTAGATCCTAGAATGTTGGAGGCAGTAGCCTCGGTCTGAGAGCAACAAAGCAACAACAAGTCAATCCTATGTCACATGAGAAGTGTGTCGCAAACGAAACGGTGGGATGGTCTCTGAGGGTGGCGAATGCAGCCTAGGGGTCGAAAACTCCTAAGGGCATCCACACATAGATAACAGGGAGACACATGTCATCAGGCTCAATGAGGGTAGGGAACTGAGAGCGATCAGAACCAATGACCCTAACAGATAGACCATCAGGGCGGGTACTGCTCGACTAAGGGGTGACCGCTATGGAGGGTCGACCATGGGAATAAGGGAGTCTGGTATACTGGGCTCACCTAAATGAAGCATGCGGGCCTGCCTAACTAGGGCATGAGGGCTGGCGAAGGGTAGAAAGATGATGGGTAAGGGAATCATGCAAATGACTCCTAAAGTGAGGGAAGTCCGAGCTAGATCCGTAAGATGGGAAGCCAGGGCAACGCTACGGTCCCGATGCCTATGCGTATACTAAGGAAGAACCCAACTCAGAGGAACCCGGCTAAAGGGAGACCACCATGCGACACAAGCAAGGTAATGTACAGGGTAGAGTGGTAAGAGAGTGGCGACGTCTGAAGTAGTCAGAGCTGATCGTGATGAAGTCCATGGAGCTGCCGATGACGTCCACGATGAGAAGTCCGGAATGTCGTCGAGCAAGAGCCGCAGCGTTGACGAGCTGAAGTAGCAAAACTGATGTGGATGGAGTACTAAGAAGTCAAAGACGTGGGAAGGTAAGTCAGAGTCAATCGTCGTATCGAGCAAGACGACGATAAGTGCGCTGTGGACGCTCAGAAGCATCCGGCTGCTGCTGAAGGTCTGCCTCAGATGGAGCAGGCTCGACTTCAGCGGTCTCCTCAGCCGGAGGAGAAGGAGGAGGCTCAGTGGGCTGAGGAGGAGCAGTGAACCCAGCACGACGAGCACGGTCATAGGCACGCACCAACATGCGAGCGTGTTGCAAGTGCTCGATGGGCTCCCAGGTAGCCTCCTCATCAGGGTTACCCTTCCAACGTACGAGATACTTGACGTGGGGAGGGTTGTCGTCGGTGACTCGACGACCAATGATGTTTGAAACGAGGAACTCCTTGTGACCGTCCACCATGATGGGTGGAGGACGCTCGTATGGTCGTCCAGCGAAACGTTCAGACAGTCAGTGGTAAGTACGCAGTAACGAGACGTGGTAGACATCGTGCACACGAGCCTGGCGTAGGTAGTTGGGCAACTTCACATGGAAGCTGACCGGGCTAGATGCCGTATCAGAACCGACGGCCTGGAGGATGCGGCATGGGCCAAAAAAGCGACGCCGAAACTTGCGAAGCGTGTCCGCTTCGAGCTGTAAGTGGCGGGCGTCGATAAACACATCATCACCGACTTTGAATGGATGATCCATCCTCGATCGGTTCGCACGTGCTGCCATGGGAGTCTGGGAAGCGGCTATGTGCTCATGTGCGGTCTTCATGATCGACGTCATGTGTGCAACCCAATCGTCCAGCGCGGGACAACTCGTGTCGGGGTGCAGCTGGGACGGTTGAAGGAAGTCCGCGGGAACACGAGGGTGATAGCCGAGGTCGCAATAGTAAGGCGACATCCCCGTGGCTGGCGAGACGGCGTGGTTGTAGGCTATCTCCGCGTGGGCAAGATGGAGATCCCACTGCTGGTCGTCACGAACAATCTTTCGAAGAATATCTCCGATAGTCCTGTTCGTGATCTTGGTCTGACCATTAGTCTGAGGATGGTAAGACGAGGAGAAGCGGAGCTGAGTGTCGTATACCTCGTGGAGCCGTCGCCAGAATCGGCTGGTAAACCGCGGTCACGGTCAGATATGATGCTCAGAGGTAAGCCGTGGTCAGGCACGGCTCGGTCATATACGATGTCAGCGACCTCACGTGCACTGATGGCATAGCGGCACGGAACAAAGCGTGCACGTTTCGTGAAGCGGTCGACGACGACCAGGATAGCATCATGACCGCGAGGGGTCGGAGGACGAAGAGAACCGATAAAGTCCATCGAGATGGACTGCCAACGACCCTCAGGGATAGGAAGAGGCTGGAGCAAACCATAAGGCAGGTGGTTCGCACTATTCACCTCCTGACAGGTGGGACACTCTGCGACGTAGTCCTTCACAAAGTCATTACGCTTCGGCCAGACGTACAGGCAGCTCACACGAGCCAACGTCTTGTGGAAGCCCATATGACCGGCAGCTGCCTGGTCATGGAACTCTGCTACTGCTCGGACACGTAGCTGTCCAGTGGAGGGAACGCAAATACGGGGCTCTCTGGTGCCCTGTTAACCGTGCCAGTACACAAGACCGTTGTCCCTGAGAGAGTAGTTCGGGACGGTCTTGCCACTCCGAAGGGTCGCGTGGATGTCGCGATAGTCGGGGCAGTGGCGGTACTGAGTGCGAAACTCGTCGATCATCGAGTGGTGGACGGTGGTGACCGAGATGAAAGAGAGCTGGATGTGCTCCTGGTCGTGGTCAGGGCGCCGGGATAGGGCATCTGCGACCCGATTAGTCTCACCCTTCATGTGCTCAGTGGTGAAACTAAACTCGGACAGGTCGCGCCACCAGCGAGTCTGTCGAGGAGTGAGCTTCGGCTTTGTCAGAAAAGCCAGGACAACAGAGTTGTCCGTGCGCACGGTGAATGGTGCCCCGTGTAGGTAGTGACGCCAGTGCCGAGCGACATAAACTACTGTGAGAACCTCACGTTCATCAGCAGTATAGTTTATCTCGGCGGGCAGGAGCTGACGGGAGTAGAAGGCTATCGGACAATCACCTGAGCGAGACTCGACAGTGCCGTCCTCGGCGATGGTAGAAGAATAGTCAATAGAAGGCTCGTCAGTAGCTGGACGAGTAGGCGTCAGTCGGGAAGCAGTGGTAGGGGTAGGTGGTGGGAAGCGAGGGATACGAGGATGAGAGGAATCGGGAGAGGAGGGGAAGACCTTAGAAAGCACTGCTCCTACAATGAAGTCTGATGCATCGGTGGTAAGGATAAAAGGGCGGTCAAAAGCGGGTAGGTGAAGAACCGGTGCGCATGTCACCGCCTTCTTGAGGGCGCGGAAGGCGTCCTCGTGGAGGGGTGTCCAAGCCCAGGGTGGGTTCTTTCGAAGGAGGGTGGAGGTAAGGACGTAGGAATACCTAGCGTATCCCCGGATGAAGTTACTGTAGTAGTTGGTCAGGCCTAGGAAGCTGCGAAGCTGCTTGGTGGATGTGGGAGCGGGCACTCCGCAATAGCAGTGATCTTCGCGTCGTCTATGTGGAGACCCTGGTTAGACACGTAGTGTCCTAAGAAATCCACTTTGTGCTGGGCAAAGCGGCACTTGCTCAGCTTGGCGTAGAAGCCATGTCTGCGCAAGCGGTCAAGGACGTCGAGGAGATGTCTGAGGTGCTCCTCAAGGGTACGACTGTAAACCAGGATATCGTCGAGGTAAACGAGAACGTACTGCTCCAAGATGTCCCTGAAGATGTCGTTCATCGTCCTCTGAAAGGTAGCGGGAGCATTAGTGAGGCCAAATGGCATCACCGTGAACTCGTAGTGGCCGAATCGCGATCGGAACATGGTCTTCGGCTGGTCAGCTACAGCGACGCGGATCTGGTGGTAATCGCTACGAAGATCAATCTTTGTAAAGAAGCGGTTGCCTGCTAGGCGGTCGAATAGCTCATCGGAATGAGGCATGGGGTAGCTGTTCTTAACCGTGTAGCGGTTGAGACCGCGATAGTCGATGCAGAGACGGAGAGTTTTGTCCGCTTTGCGAGCAAAGAGGACGGGTGCACCCCACGAGGAGTTGCTGGGTTTAATGAAACCCAGTCTCAGGAGCTCCTCAAGCTGACGTTTGAGTTCGGTGGCCTCGGGGATCGAGAGTCTGTAGGGTGCCTGGTGGTGAACACGATAGTCAGGCACAAGCTGAATGGAGTGCTCGACGTCACGCATTGGTGGGATGCCGGCATACGAGAACGACGATGGGAAAACGTCGTGGTACTCTCGGATGAGG